AGGGTGAAGGATTGGTTGCCTTGCTGCCTCTGTGAAGCTCAGTGACACTGAGGCCGTGTTGGGGTGAGGCTCCCACTGCATGCAGTAGCCAGCACCAGGCCCAGCAGACAGCAGCCCATGCTCACCCATGCCCTGGACTCCATCCGCAGCTCAGCTGCACCTGCACAGTCCTACTCTTGTGTGACCATAAGTGACCCTCAGAGGAGAAAACCAGGACAGTGGTACACACCTGTCATCCCAGCAACTTGGGAGGCTGAGGCAGGAAGAGGGCAGCTTCTAGGCCAGCCTGGGCAACTAACTGACACCTGACTCAATTTTTTTTTTAAGTGGGGGGTGGCAGCTGGGGTTGAGGCTCAGCCGTAGAGCGCTCGCCTCAGCACCACATAAAATATAAAGGGGTTGTGTCCAACTACAACTAAAAAATATATTTTTAAAAAAAGAGGGGATGGAGACTGGGGTGTAGCTGAGAGGCGGAGCAGTGCTGGGTGCGACCCTCAGAACATCAACAAAACAAGGTGAGATGAGGGCCCTCGCTGGGGCAGCCAGTGTCCATGTCGGGCCTTCCTGGGCTGGCTTGTCTGCAAGGTCTCTGCTCCATGTCAACATGGGAGCCCCATCTGCAATGGACTAGACCTGCTGCAGCGGCTGGAGCTGCTGCCCACCACCACTGCAGTCCAGCTGGAGAGAAGTGGGGCTGAGAGGCCTCGACAGCACAGGCTGGGGGGCTTGTGGTTGTTTGTTTGGATTTTAATTTTTGGTGCTGGAGATTGAACTCCAGGGCACTCATCACCGAGCTACGTCCCCAGCTCTCCCCGCCCTTTTTAATCTCGAGACAGGTCTCACAAGTTACCCAGCTGGCCTCAGAGTTGTGTCCTCCTGCCTCAGCCTCCCAGTGTAGTGTAGCACCACACAAAACATGTTCTGGGTCTTTTTTGAAGAGGGCAGCTTCTAGGCTGTTTGTTTTGTTCTTCTTTTGAAGTATTGGGGATTGAACCTAGGTGCCTTGCCACTGAGCTGTATCCACAGCCCTTTTCTGTTTATTTATTTCAATTTTGTATTTGTTTGTTTGTTTTGAGACAGGGTCACCCAGGCTGGCCTTGAACTTGTGATCCTCCTGCCTTGCACTTCCTTTCTGTCTTCTCACCATACTACCTGTTAAATGGCTCCAGTTCATTTAAAGTTGTATTCAAAAGATTGATTTTATTTTAAAGATTAATGTGATCTCAAACGGGGTATAATGTATGATCAGCCAAATTCAAGACAGCTGTTACACAAACTAAATATGTTTTTACTCTTGTTAATTTCATTTGTATTTTCCCTATAACTGTTGCCTGTTGATATTTTGCAGAGGTACTGCTTCAAGAACACAAAACCTGGGTTGATTAATTTATTTTGTATTAATCTCATTTCGGTACTCATGTCTTTTTATTTCTTTCATAGAAGAACCTACTCCCAGGTGAATTTACAACTGTTCTTCCCAAACCAGACTTTTACCATGAACCCCTCGACTGACCTGATTTCTAAAAAAGAGACTCCAAACTGCTTGACCCACCACACATGGCCCCTGCCCCCTCAGCTCGAGGCAGCCCCCTTCCCTACAGCAGTAAGAAGTCCCTAGGGGGCTGTGGTTGTGGCTCAGCGGTAGAGCACTCGCCTAGCACAGGCGGGGCCCGGGTTCGATCCTCAGCACCACATAAAAATAAAAGTGTTGTGTTGTGTCCATCTACACCTAAAAAATAAATATTTAAAAAAAAAAAAAAAAGAAGAAGTTCCTAAAATCAGAGATTGATAGGTAATTGCATCAAATCACAAAATGGAGCCTGGTTTGGGTCCAGAAAATGTTTGCCATGTTTTTTCTCTTATCAGAATATGTTATAAGGCCTGAGCTGCTAAACAAAATATCTTGTCAATCTAGTTAATTTATATGCATGGCCATTACAACCTCTTACTTAATTTAAAAGATAAGGTTTGATTGTTTCTAAAAAAGGGGGGATGTTATGGGCCAGGCTGTAAGGGCAATGACCAAACAGACTCCATTTCACCCTGAGACTCCAAGTCACATGAGAAATGCTTCTCCCATGAGAACACCCCACCTCTGTACCCACCAACAGTTGCTTAGCATAGCATGTTTGGCAACACAAAATGGCAATTCTTTTTTTTTAATATTTTTTAATTGTAAATGGACACGATATATTTGTTTTTATGTGGTGCTGAGATTCGAACCCAGTGCCTCACACATGCGAGGCAGGCGCTCTACCACTGAACTACAGCCCCAGCCCAAAATGGCAATTCTTATACAGTGTAAAATTGTCCTCTCTTTGGTTCCCACTTTTCTTGGACAATGTGCCCTGTCAGAGAGTGATGGTCTAGATGTTAGTGACCATTCCGTAACTTATA